GGCTCTTTCGGCAGCACCTGCCTCACCTAGGTGCACGTTACATGGGGCAAGGGCCACCTGGTAACCCAGCCACAGGTGGTCTTGGAGTGAGCTACCAGCTGTTGTCCCTCTCCATTGTTCTAGGTTTCTTCATGTTCTCTTCACATAGGCTCTTTGCCGGAGCAGCGCTCTGGCTTGGTTTATGTAACACAATCTCTTGACCTCTTTTCTCCAGCACCTGTTGCCACAATGTTACCTGATGTCTCTTCCTTAGGCGAGAGAGGACAGGTTGGAGTAGCAACAGGAGGGGTCTCTGCTGTGTTCTCATCTCGACTGAATGGCTATTGTACAGAAACCTGTGGGCTTGAGTTCTGCACCAGGCTCTCACCCTGCCACAATCAGACTGGTCCAGACATCTGAGCTGGGCTTTAGCCCCATTTCCCTGCTTGGGGTTCGAGTCCCTCCGTGGTTTCTGTAACTCGCTCTCATTGAGGGTTATGCTGCAGTCCAGGGTGGGTTTATAACCCGGGCCGTGCCCACCAGAGGTGGGAAGAGTATGCTAGCATCCTGCTGACTGCGGCCAGCTGTAAACGAGGCGGGTGCTGGCACTGTTCTGATCCCAGCCCAGATGGAGCTGGAATGGATCGGGCTGCTTTGCTGACGACGGGTAGCCTGAGGGGCCGTCAGAACTACATGCCAGGACTAGATGTTTAGTAACAAAGGCCCAGCTCATCCCCTTCAGTGGAACCTGCAGGAGGGGACTCCAGGGTAAGAGGTCTCCATGGCAATCTCCTCACAGGGATCCCACCCCCCCCCACTGCTCAGTTGGGGGGCAGGAGCAGGAGGAGAGGTGGGATTTCCCAGGGGAATAGGCCTGCCCCAAACCTGGCAGAGCCCAGCCAAATTCCGCCCCCCAGCGACACAGCTCCATTAGAAAGTGGGCAGGAGTACAGCATTATGGCACCACAGATCCCATTTTGGCAGCGTAGCTGGGCCCTCTCCGGACGCTTCATTCACACACAGGCAGGTATCGGCTGCGTTTCCGTCCGGTCACTTTCACGTACAGTATCAAATGTGGCACCTCGGAGTTTGCAACTTAGCAATGATGCAAAGAGACCTGGTTCTTGCAGGTGACCAGGTGATACAACAATTAAAAAAAAAAAAAAAAAAAGACTGAAGGGACAGCTGCAATCTAGAGGATCAGCCCGGGGCTGGGAGTCTGGGATGAATGCCCGATGTTGCCACTGACTCACTGTGTGGCCATCCCGAGTCATGCCATTTCCCCATGCCTCAGTGCTCACACCAATGAAATGGATACAGCACAAAAGCAAAGGGATTAACTGCACAGACCACAACTAGGTGACCAGGCTGGTTTCTAGCAGCTTTCACCCATTTAGGTTCTCAGAGATGGCTCAACCCTGGCAATCCCTGAGTCACAAACATCTGCAGGGCCGAGAAAGGCTGAGATGACACATGTGAGGTGACAAAAGGAACGTTGAACCCAGTGACAGAGCTTTGTATGGGTGAATAAGAAACTCTTGACGGGGACAGGGGATCAATGCTGAGGAAGAGCACAAGCGAAACCTTACAAGGAAAGGGAATTTAATCCAAAGAGGAGTAAAGATGGAGGATCTGCCAGGACGGTAAATATCACGGAGAGATGGAAGAGCCACCAGGTCAGCTGGTTCCCCAGGGTGTGGGGCAACTTAAATAAAACATACAACGAGTTTCAGAGATTGCAAGAGACAGAGACAGACATTTTAGAAGCAACCGTTGTAATTATCTAGTCTGACCCTGGATAACAGGTCATAAAATTTCATCCATCAAGCCCAATAATTTGTGATTGACTCATATAAACTGTTTACCATGGAGACAGCGGGAATCCAATGAACGGATGGGGACATCCATGGAACGAGCACTGTGGGTCTCAGTCCAAGTCACGGTGAGTAACTCAGAACCACCAGCACACTTGGCACTTGCATGACCCCTTTGCTGGGAGCCTCAGCAGAGGTATTAAGAACTGAGCAGGGCACGATGGATGAATTCCCCCTTACTCTTACAGCTGCTTTCTCTTCGGGGGCTTCACTCTCCAGGCTCCTCCTGCTAGCCTCTCTCCTGAGCACTAACGGCCCCTGTGATGGAAGGATACAGCTGGGCAGCGGGAGCAATGCAGGAGCTCCGTGTTAATTGCTGATGATCAGGGTGTTCATACATCCAAGGGAGGACTGTCCCTAAGGCAGGCAGTGCATTTCCTCAAACCTCTCTCTTTGGGCAACAATGACCTGCACTTCTAGTGCAGGGTCAGGGCCAGCCTAGCATAGGTTTTTACTGATAGGCAAAGCCAGGCCTGGGCTGTTTACTAATCCCACTGTAATTAATTACCTTATCTTTGGCCAAAGTCATTTAGATAAAGTGCCTGGTGTGATAGGACCTGAGACTCAGCAGCACAGATGGGAAGGCTGCATTTGTCTGGGGATTAACGGAGGGCAGATGGAGCCAAGTGGCATTCCTCATCCTCATTCCACTCAAAACCGACAACAGCCTGAAACTCGAGACCCCAACAACTTTCTCAGGGAGGCTGATTTTTAACTGTGCTCTTAGCTGAAAGAGGCAGAGAGGGGGCCGGGAGCAACAAAACCAAGCGAGGGAAATCTGAACAAAGGCCACGCAACATGGCAGCAGGAACCCGTTCGGGTCCTCGCCAGAACCACCTTCATGCCAGGCCTGCATGCTGGCACTTACCTAATGCAGGGAATAAAAATACCCTATGGTGTTTTTTATGCCTAGGGGTAACGTGCACCGTTTGCTGGCTAAGTTCAATGGTGAGTAGCTGCCTGCAGTTTCCCCGCTGGCCTCTCAGGGCAACAGCTAACTAGGAAGATCAAAGAAGTATTAACTCCTCCCCACTCGAGACTCAGAGCATCCAAAAGGACACTAGCAATCCAGAGCCAAGACAGCCTCAGAACTTTCCCCTGTGTATGGAGCATTTCCACTGCCCCAGCTGAATCTGCAGCCTGGTGAGGATCCTGAAAGTCTGAAGTCCACTAGAGACTTTACTTGCAGGATGCTCAAATACTGCGGTGAAGGGTGGCAGTACAGAACCTACAAGAGGGGTGTTTTCTATCTGCTCAAGGGAAGATGCTCCAGCGAGGCCTCTATGGGCCAAACAGTGACAGGGAAACAAACCTTGCACCTGACCCTTCGAGATGCTGAGCCCTCTCTACTCCAGGAATCAAGCGGGCATCTCTCAGGCTTAGCCCTTAATGAAGAGAAGGTTAAAGAGTGACTTGAGTTTAGTCTGTAGCATGCACGCAGGGAGCAAATATTTAATCAGGGGCTCTTCAGTGTAGCAGACAAAGGTCTAACATGATCCAGTGGCTGGAAGTTGAAGCTTAAAAATTAATCCTGGAAATAAGACAACAATTTTTAACAGTGAGAGCAATAAAACAATTTACCCAGGCTCGAGGTGGATTCTCCATCACGGAAAATTTTAAAATTGCGAGTGGAAAAAGCTGCTCCAGGAATTATTCTGGGGACAGTCTCTGGCGTGGGCTATGCAGGAGGACACACTAGATGACCACAATGGTTCCTGCTGGCCTTGGAATCTAGGAATCTATGACTCTTTGCATTTCCACCAGTGGATTCATTTCCCAGCTCTGTCACGGGAGGGATGAGATAGTGAAACAGAACCTACGGTCACGAGGGCCATATCCTCTGACCTCTGCCACGAGAGAGCCTGAGAGGAAGTCTGAGCATCGCAAACACAACATCGAGGAGAAGGAAAAAGCTCTCACCGGCACAGCCCCCACCTGCAGCTCAGCATCCATTGCTAATGGGATCGTCAGTGGAATATGCAGACTAGCAGCCGCTATTTGGGTCGCATAACACTGTTAATCTTTGGAGATGGGGCGTTAATATTAAACCGATTAGGCCCATTAAATCCATTTTTAACAGTGTGGTCATCTGACAGCACATGCTCCGTGAGGCAGACTGTATGCCCCCCCCCCGTAATCCCTGCCTCATTCACAGAGTTTGCCCTAAGGATCCCAACCCTGGCTGGGAAGACAGGGAGAGTGGGAGGGAAGAGTCCTTACAAAACAGCAGCGTCTGAAGGTTTCAAAGCCAGCGTCCAGCTCTTGCTGATTCCAGGGCAAAAGAGCGACACATTATTTGCAATTTCTCCTTGGATTTATCTTGACTGAGCTTCCCCCAGTGGGTCAAACAAATCAATGATACTGCTTTTCAGGGTATTACAGAAACAATTAAACATAGGGGGACCCAGAGAGCATGTCCCGGCAATTCAACCTAATCCCCAACCAAAGATCCATCCCCAGAGCCTGCGATAGGGAATCTGTCCAGAGATACTTTTTTAGTAACTCAATCCATTCCTAAGTGGGCAGAGCCCTGGGGCATTCATCTCATCTCGGCCACATTAAGTGATTCTGTGGCAGCTGCAGGAACACCTTGCGCTTTGAAGGTTAGAAGCCCCATGGGAGAAACCTTAGCCAAAATATAGGCTGCTCCCTTTGCAACAAGAATCCCACAAGCCCAGAATGGTTTTTACACAGGGAAATAAGGCAGCGTGGCTGGATCTCTCTTTGATCCATCAGAATGAAGCTCAGAGGCATTCGTTACCACATAGAAACCCACAGGAGTACATCTGCTCCGAGTACGGCACTCATCCCCAGGCACCAATGGACGTCAAACCACAGTATAAACCCCTGGGAATCAGGGTTTAGCTAGGATAGACTCACCTGTTGTCAACTCCAGGGATCTTAGTTCTAGCCCATTGTCAAGATCATTTCAAAGGTGCTCTCTAACAGGTGCTGGTGCTTTCACTGCCAGCAGTATGCAGAGAGATAAGACTACCTTCTGCCCACCGCATACAAAGGCCAGGTGGAGACTGAGGCTCTGGAGAAAAGGGCTGGACCTGGAGTAACATGCAGGCCCACGGGCAGTCCAGGGAAGCCTGGAACAGATCGGAGCTACCAAACCAGAGGGCTAATCATTTTCACCAGAAAGAGGGGGGCCAACGTTTCTACTTTATTTAGATGTTTAAAAAAAAAAAAATCGCCTTCATAAACAATTAATAAAGATAGCAAGAATTCCCTAGCGTGTGGCTCTATGCTTTTGGCCCAGGCTGGAATGGACACAGTATTTCTGTCCCTGAGAACACCTCGCTCAAATGCCAGCAAACTAGATCAAATCCCAAGGCTGGGATGCTGCATCACTGCCTAGAATTAAAAACACAACTCAGCTTGGTTGCTCCTGATGAGCTTGCTTGGAGGTTCAGCCGTTTTCAGGCTGGGCTGGAGAAGTTTGGGGATCCTCACCCCATTCGTGCTGTGTGAAGAGGATACGCTCTTGCCTGCAGCAGGATGCTGAAAGCAAGACACCCAGCTTATCCCCAGATCCTTCCTGCGCTCTGCTCCGTTCAGTCTTGATTCCACTGGGGGCAGAACAACTGCTGACCCTGCTCCCCAGCTGGCTGGCAGATGCAGAACTGAGCCTACGTTCTGTCCTGTCCCAAGTTCTGGGTCCCGTCACTATCTCCTTGAGTCCCTGTGACATTAACTTGGCTTTCCACAGCACTAAGCTTCCGTCTTTCCTTCAGGTGGGACTTCGACTTTGTGTGAGCTGAGGGCAAAGACAAACAGAGCATGCGACTCAGGGGGATCTTGGGGAAGCAAATACCCAACTCATCCAATCCTGTGATGTGCTGAGCACCCTCAACTCCCATTCACTGCTATGGGGGGGATGAGGATGTTCATTACCTCAGAGGATCCAGCAGCCCCTGTTCCAGTCACTCATAGAAGTATTCCTTTCAGGCCAAACCAATTCATACTCATTCTTAGCACTAGAGGGAAAGGCCTTGGTCTGTTTAAAATCCTGCCACCTACTCGAATAATCCAGATGGATAAACATTATATCATATTATACACACGCACACTGCCCTGTAAAGAGAGATGCAAAACCATTTTTGTGCCTAAAGACTCACAAATGGGTGACCTCTACATTGCTGACGAGTCTAGCCCTCAGTGAGGAACAGCTGCTGTGAGCCTCATATCACAAACCGGTTTTCGTATCTCTTTACGTCGTGAAGTTGGACAATTGTCTGCAGCACCACGAAGCGGTGCCAAAAATGTGTCTTTACATACAATATGCCATAGCTGGGTGTTTTGTGGGTCTATAGACTGGATGAAGTTAACACCTACGGAGTTGTGCAAAAGCACAGGTAGGCCCTGATCCTGCAAACACTCACGCTTGTGCTTTCCTTTAAGCACACAAGCAGTCCCGTTGCTTAGGCCTGGCCTACGCGCAAAGTTTTACTGGCATTACTAGGTCCGTACGAGGTATGATTAATTTACAACACAGTTACAAAGCAGCAGTGTACATGCAGTTATATCGGTGTGAGGTGATTCACCGAACCAGAATAGCAACGGCCGTATAAGCACTTTTACCCCGGTATAACAGCCTCCACACTAGGGGGTTTTCGCAGCCCTAGCCATGCCGGCATAGTTACGACAGCAATACTTCAGTGTAGACAAGGCCTTCGCTAAGCATGTGCCTATGTGTTTGCAGGATGGGGGCCCTAGGACGTTTTCCAGACTTTTTTCCTCTGGCCTCCTTTGAAAGAAAATTACATGCACATTTGGTACTTTATCGCAGTGTTATTGGGACACCATCAGGTTGCAATGAAATCACATTTCTTTGAAATTTTGTTACAAGTGATACCAAAGTTTAACTGAAACAGTACACATCTCTCCTGTCATTTGTGAGAGTCTTTCGTTTTAAACAACATGAAAGTGCAATTGTAAAAAAAAAAAAACCACAAAAACTGAGAGGACCATCAGGGCCAGGAGCAGTTTCTGAAACTATTTCTAACTCATTTTTAGAAACTGACTAGATTTCAAGTTGACTCTGGGCCCCCAGTGTTTTCATTTCCTGCCTCATGTGTTTAAATTTGTAGCTTTAAGGTTGCATTTAATGGCAACATTTCAGTTCAGTTCTACATGCGCCCTCCCTCCCCCTAACACTGCTCTTGCACCATTTATGGGTTCATGCCAAGTATGGCTGGATATAGGGGATGCAGCATTGATCTAGGATAAATAAATATTAACAACTGGGAACTTGGGCGACACCCCCAGGAAAGGAATCTATTGCCCCGTAACTGTACCTTACAAAAGGACCACTCTTGGTCATAATGTTTCCTGTGCCCTAGCAGCATGGAGTGAGCTCTCAAATCTTTCAGACTCTCTCTCCTTGGTGTGTATGCATGTCTTTTAAAATGTTTTCAAACTAGTACAATACACAGATCTACTAAAAACCAGATAACTACATTTATGATCTAAGCATATTAAAGAGAATTACTAATGCAAAACACCAACTTCCCTACCTACGTTATAAACCGCTCCCTGGATCAATAAAACTAAATGAATCTTTAAAACCTACTTCTCGCTATTAATACTGCATTTGCTTTCAGCATTTCACTCAGTTTGCACAATGAAGATAGACGTGTCAGTTTCATGTTTGTTGCTAGTCAGTTTCTAGCCAATCTCACTTTGAGGTTCTGAGCTCCCCGGAAATGTTACTTTGTTTTAAAATATTTTGATTCCAATGGGATTAAAATTCAATTTTCAAACTCATGGAAATGTTCCTGTCAACATTAGATCTGGGAAAAGCTTTAGTTTTACAAAACCTAAATGTTGGCGCAAACCCAACTTTTTAAAAACTTTCCAGGATATATTATTGTTTGTTTTAAAGAAAAAAAATAGATTGTAAGAGAAACAAGATTCTCGGTGCAGGTTCGCTAACCCTCCTGAATTGCTAACAAGAACGAGCAGCTCAGAACGAACACAGAAATTCAGAAGTGATGCGCTAAGAAGAGTGTTTTGACGGAGAGGGCTCCCACCACCCAGTGCCAGAAGAGAACGTGAGTTTTCCTGTTTCCCTCCCCCCAGCCCAGTGGTAAGAGCTGACAGATGGCTGCTGTGGCATGGCTTACACCCCTCCAGGCTTGCAAGCGGCTGCTTTTATCAGAGGGCTGTAAACAGTCCTAGGAAGCCTGAGATCATGTAATGAAGGTCATATGACCAAGAGCAGGTATCTATGGACTCATTTTGTTCCCTTGACACAAACTGCAATTCCACATTGAAGTTATCCCATATATATTTCCCCACCCTCTGGATCCTACCTGCCCATTCTCTGTCCCCAATGATGACTCTGTTGCAGAGCTCACACATGTGATGACTCCGTTTGTCCTCATTTATCTCACTCTCCATCTTTACAGGGTCTGCCGATGGCTGCTGCCCCTGAGGTTAAAAAGGTGTCAGGTCAGTTTCTATTCAGCGAGGTTTCTCTCGTCACTGCCACTGTCATGGGATTTGTAGGCTTTCCTACTGACCTTTGAGGGTCAGAGCTACGGAGTCAGTCTCCTCCCAGTATGAGACAAGGGGCATGCTGTGTGTTTGGGGGTTCCTCAGTAACAGCGGGACACAATCGGAAATCTGGAGTTAGAGACATAGCAATAACCCTTGGCCAGCCTGAGAGGGGCAAGCCTGGAGGCTAGAGGAGTAGGGAGAGAGGGAGCTCTAGTTTAGAAGCATGGAGACCGCAATCTCCCTGGGTGGAGCTCTGGGGAGAACTCTAGCGACAGTGGCAGCTTGTGGAAGGGACAGGCTGCAGTTCTGGCAAAAGTCCCCACCCAGGGCAGGACAGAGAGATCAGACACACACCAAAATAAGTGGCTCCTAAGCAACTGCTCACACAGGCCCATGGATGAAGCTCACCTGGATGACGCTCTCCACAATCTGAAGGGCAGGTTTCAATACATTCTCATCCCACCGTGAGAGATCAGACACCTCCAAACCATACACTGGGGGCACATTGGGTCCAGGGCCTGGGGAGAAACACAGAGCAGAAGCAATTAGCTGCCAGCAGTATCCTAGCCAGTCACGTTACTCCTGAGCGGTGTGGCTGCAGGACCCTAACATCCCTGGGAGACGTCCCACATTATCCTCACCAGCTTGTCCTTCCGAGACAGATATTCCGAGACCGAGTGGTCCTGAGACAGGATCACCGGAGCCCTTGGTTTGCTAGGAACTGCACATCCTCAATCCCAGCGTCCAGCAGGGCAGTTTGCAATCCAGGGGCAGGAAAGAAACCCAACATCTAGAGCTTGGCAAGAGCCAAGCAAATTGTGCTCCCAACATAACTAGAACCCACTTCCCACCTGCCCGGTCCACTGGAAAAGTCCAGGCTCACTCAGCCAGCGGAAGAGTCAGACGGAGACCCAGATGGTTTCAGCACACAGCAATTACGTGAGGTGCAGCTGTTCTTCTAGGGAGACTCGAGCCTGGTGCTTGGATTGGGTATTTGCTTTTGAGGGTCTCAGCCTGGTTGCTTTATTTACAGCTGTCACGGCTAATGAGGCTGCAAGAGGTGGACGCGCACGTAGCAATGGGTGTGCTTCATCTGAACACCTGCATTTGGTGTGGGACTATTTTAAAACCAACCCATCTGCCTCCTTAAGCCAACGTGAGGGCGTCTGGCGCTTCCAGAGGCCCAGCCGGCACTCAGAGCGCAGAGATGTCTGCAAGCCAGACAGCGCACACTCCCCAGCGATGTCGCTCACCTGCCAGCCGGCAGAGCGAGCGCCTAATCACTCAGACAAAGTCATCAAAGGCTGCGGCATCCGGCAGGTGCTGCCTTTTATTGCTCCAGCCACAAAGAAGGCTCTTAAGAGGCCGATCGAAGGCACACCTGTCCCATCTGCTGCTCGGCAGAAAGGTGAGACGTGGATGCTGCGCACCTGGCCCCGGGAAAGCCCTGCACCCAGTTCAAAGCCAGTCTTTTGGCCTGGTTGGGTTTCTTTTTCTTTTTCTTGCCCCTACCAGCCACCTTTCAACAAATGCTCGGCTCCCAGCTGCTGATCCTGGCCCTGCTCCAGGGCGAGGGAAGTCCCATTGGCTTCTTGCCATCGTGGTGTCCACGGCAGGCCTGTAACAACCAATCGGCTGCAGCTCCTAATCTGGAGGGCAGCTGTCCGTTGGGCTTTTCGCTCCAGCCCGGCGCGCGTGTGGGCTCATGGGGAGAGGTAAACACGATGGGCAGATCCCCTGTAGCCCCTTTCAGGAAAGAGCTGGCCTGTAGGCAGCCAGGGATCTGACTGCCAGCAACAGCTAGTGCAGGAGGAGGGGACGTGTGGAGGGACAGGTGGCGCGTGGGGCTTTGTTCTGCTGGGATTTTAGCCAGCAAGGAGGGAGCTTTTCCTGGGAGGGGTGGAGACTTCCCTGTCACAGCTGGACAATTAGGGAGCAAGCACACCGAAGAGGGCCTGGGAAGGGAGCTCAGGAACGTCCACTTCAGGTGGGAGGGGGAATGAGCACAGACAAGGCCGGGGCAGCAAGGTCTTGGGCAGGCCTGGTCCTGATGGGCCGGGAGCGAAGCAGGAACAGCACGTCCCGATGTGCCCAGCCCTCTCGGCAGCCTGAAGACAGGACACACCCAAAGGTTATTCACTGAAGAGGCTGCTGGACAGATCCCGGTAATTTGGGGGGCGGGCAGCCTCACACTCAGGCGGAGAATGTCCACGTGACTCAGCAGAGGGAATTCACACGGGAACGGTTCCCTCGGTGGCCCTTGGAGAGCCGTGTTACGTAACTGTCCTTGGATATGGCCTGCGCCCGGAGACGTTGCTATTTATCCAGCTGCCCCATCGTGTACGGCCCCCTCCCTCCAGAGGGCTGCCTTGGCTGTAGAGCCACAATGGCAGAGGAGAGCTCTTCACAGGGAGAGCGGACTGCAGAGAGCAGGGTCAGAGCGTGCCCTGTACGCAACTCATCCCCCCTTGGGAGAACTCGGAGCCCCCCACGGGCTGGACAGCACCTGACAAACCAGAGTTCGCCTGGCCACCAATGGCAGCCAGGCTCCCTTCTCCAGCCAGGAGGGCAGAGGACACTGCTCCGAGGGATGGAGGAGAAAGGGGAGGGCTGGGACACTCCCCAGAGCAGATCCGGGAGTGGGGCGTGAATGGGGCGGAGGGATGAGAGGGGAGGGGATGCTCCCAGGGCAGCTGGGGGTGGGGCGAAGAAGGGGTATAAACACTTACGTCTCAAGAAGCGGTTTCGGACCCACTTGTTCTGCTTCCGGGCGTATCTCTTTGTCACTAGTTTCAGGGCCTGGATCCCTTTCAAATTAAGGTAACAAAGCACCTGTGAATTAGACTCCATGGATGTTAAAGAAGCCAGTGGGAACTAAGTGGGGCAGGGTGTGGGAAGGTGCGAACCCCAAGGGAGGAGGGGGGATGGCCGGACTAACGGGAGGGTGACCACTAGGCTGAAGATCAGGGAGGTCTCTCAGCAGGGGGAGGACTCTCCAAAGGGAAGTGATGGAAACACCATCATGGGGGACAGTTAAAACTCAAGTGGGCCAAGCCCTGAGGAACAGACTCTAGGGACGATCCTACAGAGGGTTCCAAGGGGATGGACTGGAGGCCTCAACAGATCTTCTCCATCTTTGGATCCAACCAAGGGACAAGTGAGCAAATCCCTGGCTCACCAAGCAAGGGCAAAGGAGTCTCCATCTCCCTCAATCTCTAAGCATGGGAGACACTCTGCAGCCCAGCTCCAAGGAGCCCTTCCCCAGGGAGACAGCCTGGTTCAGCTGGCCAAGGGGCACCAGACCCTGCTCAAGACTCTGCCAAGTGACACCAGCACCTCCCGAGTTGCAAGGCTTGTCAGGCATGGGTGGCTGGGACCTCCTGGGCCATTGCACAGTGCTGCTAGGGGTAGACACGAGACTCCCCTTCATGGGCTACCAGGTGTGAGCAAGTGACAGCCTCCTGGGCATGCCATTCCCACCTTTCTCCAGCAGCAAGGCGCTTGTCTCCTGAGGGCAGTTCCCCTCCGTGATAAGGTACTCGTGGAACTCCTTGAAGCCAATAGATTGGAAAATGCCGTGCTGATAATCCTGGCTAGAGAAGAAGGTCAGACAGCAGGTCAACACCTGTCGGTTGCAGCAAGGAGCTGCCCCCCTCTGTGCTGTGTCCCCACAACATCAGCTCCCATGTGTTTAGAACAGCAAAGCCATCGCCAGCCACATGGGAGCGACCCCAGCAATGGCCTGGATCAGTGGGGTGGGGTGGGGTGGGGGATGTCCAGGTGCCCACACGAGGAGCTTGGCATCAGAGGTTACACCTGGGAGGTACCATCACACCAGTCCAATCCTGGATGTCACAGGCCACTAAACACCCTCTAACTACCCCCACACCAAGCCTTTCAGCCACAATCGGCCCAAGGACTCAGCTCTCAGGGGGACTCACGTATTACAGGCCACAGGCAGTGAACAGGAGGATTGAGGTGCTCCAACGCCCAAGGCCCCTGCAACAACAGGGGATTGATTGAGTGCGAAGCAGCCAGCCGAACACTCACCAGTTCTCAGCCACCTTCTCCTGGTTGTAACGCCGGTGGAAGTCCCGCAGCTCCTCCAGGAGCCCCGCTGCTACCATGTCATCCACCCGCTTGTCCAGCCGCTCATCTAGAGCTGGCAGAGATCATAACAGCGATTCAAACACCCCGAGCCGCATTCGCAGGATGGAGAGCCCTGGCACCGAGAGCGCACGGCTTCCCAGCCACATACACCCACGGTAGCAGGCTGCATCCCGGACCTCCCGAGGACCATGCGAATGGCTCCATCGCCAGGCACCCTAAATCCTTGCGGGGGAGGAGGGGTAGTGCAAGCCCTACACTCCACCCCAGACATCTCCATACTCACAAACCTGCTGCCCCCTCACTGTGTGACTCCCACCTCGATTGCCCCCTCCCTGCTGGAGCAGGGAGCACCATTCACAAAGCTCCTGAAGAGGGTCTGACAACCAAGGACCTGAGCACTGAACTCGCGCTCTGATCCCTGGAGGGCAGCACTGGGCCATTCCACGCTTGCCAAGGGCTAGGCCAATGGACAGGAGCTGGGGACAGGATTCCTGGGTTCTATTCCCAATGTCGCCACAATCCCACTGTATGATCCTAGACAAGCCACTTCACTTCTCCCTGCCTCAGTTTCCCCATCTGTAAAATTGGAATAATTCTACTGACGGGAGGTTACAAGAATTACAGGGTAGTAATGGGCAGATCCTGCTCTCATTAAAGCTAAAGGCAAAACTCCGATCATTTTTGACGGATCCGGCCTCCTGTTGGGTGATGCACTAAGAACTCTTAGGAGTCCTGCACCGTCAGAATCCCATTCTGCTGGGCCCATGGGCATGACCCAGGGCACAAGGGGGTGAACCCCAAGGAAAGAGGATTGCTTTGGAGGGTACGAGTGGGACTTGCCAGGGCTAAAGGGAGGGCACCATGACGATCGGGGCGGGGGGGCTCACATTAACACCACACTGAACACGCTGCTCAGCTGGGGTCTCTCCTTGCTGAGGACCCCTCCCAGGCTCAGACCAGGCACCGCTCAATGAGGAGACTGCATTTGGGACGAGAGAGGCCCTGCCTGCGTTTCGCCCCAGGACGGCTCTGCCCATTCAGCCAGACGGCCCCTGGTCAGAACCCTCTCTTTACCTGCCTGGTCTGCATAAAGCCACAGGATACAGGAGTTTGGGTACTTCAGGGGCCCCCCCAACGGGCCCCCGCCTTCCTCCTCTCGCTGCCGATGCAGGAACTCGCTATGGGGGATCCCAGTTTCTTCAAATACTTGCAGGCTCCTGTACAACAGATGGACAGAGACAGCTCAGAAGCCGGGTTCGGAGCAGATTTCCATCTGCCCAGTGCCCTCGCGGATACAGCCAGAGGGAACCATGAACGCACAGGAAAACCCAACCCTCCCACCTGGGGAAAAAGTATCTGCCCCTTTCAGGAGCATGATGTACTGAGTATGCCCAGAGCCGACTACCAGCTCCTGGGGGAAGAGGCCATGGGGTGGGTGTAAGACATGGAGCACCTAGCTGGCTGACCATAAGAACCACCCCCCACTAATGACGCTGAGACAGCCCCTACGGGGCTAGGGGAGAGGTGCTGGCATGCGTCCTGCCTCTTCCCGTCTAGAGTCCCTGCAGGGAAGGGGTTGGTACCACGGATCAGAAAGGTCACAGAGCAACAGAAGCAGCCGGCAGAACAATGACTGCGTCTCTCCCGTGCGAACGGGGTGGGCGTTGCCCCGCTTCACCTGCGGGCAGGGCTGGGTTGGGAGAGTCTGTTCGAGGCGACAAGTCCAATCTCGCCGCGCCCCGTTCCCACAGCTCCGCGGTATGTTACTCAGCCAGCACGGCCGCTTTCTTTTTAAATCGCTCCAGAGAAGCTGCTGCTGCTCTCCCGGCCTGCGTGGGCTCCCCAGGTTGAGCCGGCAGCGCGCTGTGGGCCCATGGGCAGCGTTTTACCGGTTGCCAAAGGCCACCCTATTCAGGGCCGCCGGAGGCGTGAATGACGATCACCAGGCTGGGTCCTGGCCACCCTCGCTGATGCCTCTGATTGCAGCAGGGATGCTCCTGCTAACAGGCCCTAGGTTTGCAAGTCAGGGCTGGGCCTTCACTGCAGAGGGCCTGGGCTTCGGCTCCCATATTGGTCCCTTCAGAGCCCGAGCTGGGTGATGTCCAAGGCACAGTGCTAGGTCTCTCCAGCCACTCGGGGGTGGGGAACGGGAGCCTGCTCGCTCTGGCTTTGGGCAGCAAGTCGCTTCTATTGCCTGTTTCCAGATGTCTCCCTGCCGACTGAGCAGCGTGTTTCATAAGCCCCCAAATAAACGCAAACCACCCCGAGGAATTGCACCCACTAGCTGGATGCCCTGGTGTCACAGGGAGCAGCTGGGAAAGCACGTGAGTCACTTTCACTCCCGCTCCCTGTCAGATCACTTCCACACAGCCCAGAGCAGAGATCAGGGCCTCTCAAAGAATGGCTCTGCCCCGTCTCTCTGGATATTGGTATTCGACCCTCACAAACCACCCAGCCTTTTGCTGATCTGACAGACTCCAAGAACCAGAGACTGCTCTTCATCCAATGGCAGAGAGATGAAAACACCCTCCTCCAGCACCCCACAATCTCTCTGCATCAGCTGGAACCAAGAGGTCAGATCTAATTCCTCCTCCCAGTCTGCAATGTCACTCCATGCAAGCCCTGCCCCTCACACTCCTCTCCCTTCTCTATCCAGCCTCCACATGTGACCTGGTGCTGGTCTAGTGAGTGGCAATGGAAACCGACGAGAGGCCAGCGAAGTTTGTTCATCGGGTGGCAGACAAGAGGCGACTGTGTCCACTTCCCCGCGAGGGGCCCAGCCATGGCAGATCTGCAGAGAGGCACAAACCTCAGCTGGACTCTAACTGCAATGGCAAGAGAGGCCGCAAACGGCACAAGGCAACCGTCTACAGCGGCCGCAGCGCCCCCGAGGTCAGCGCTCTCCAGCTAGACAAGCTCACCTGGCCACTTTGCGCTTATCATGGGGATGCAGCTTGGCAGCCATCTCCGGGTCCACGTGGCTCAGCCGGCAATGGAGCTCACGGCCATCCAGCTGCTCCAGTTCCACCTTCCGGTCGGCTGCTCGCCCAGGGGAAGGGCTGGTCTTCTCCTGTGGGGCACAGATCAGCCCGCCCAAGTCAAACCTCTGCGAATGTTCCTGCAGGACAAAGCAAGACCCCGCTCAAACCTGCTGCATCTGGGACCCTCTGCTCCCTGAGGATGGTGGAATGGATCAGAAAGGAGCCTAAATCAAAACCAGGCAGCCCAAATCTCCCCGAACTCTGGGGCAGTGCAGAGCCAGACCCGAACGTCATGTCTCAGGCCCAACTTCAAGCAGAGCTGCTGCCTACGAGCGTACCAAAGGACTCACAAGTCTACCACCTCGCACGGGGCACCGGCTCCCCGCCATTGGCTAGGGATTGCCGCAAGAGCCTTCTGCAATAGAAAGAACAGGAGGACTTGTGGCACCTTAGAGACCAACAAATCTATTTGAGCATAAGCTTTCCTGAGCTACAGCTCACTTCATCGGATAGAGTAACGCCCACAGCACCGGTAATCTGCCTCCAGGCACCTGCTTGGTGCTGACTCAGCTAACAAGCCGCTAATGCAAGGAAAGCATGGCGAGTGCCTTAGGCTGCTCCCGAGGGAGGGCATTACCTGGATGCACTTGGTATGTTGCTCTGCAGGAAGGGGGTTACACAGGCCTAGTGTAGCATCCAAGGGAGGAAGGCGAATTTGCTTCCAATCACAGCAAGCCCAGCCGTGAGGAGGGGACCTGCCTCGCCCAGGAATTGCTGCCCCCAAGAGCTCCTACCTTGGTATCGACAAGGACCTTCCAGAGCAGGGACTCGATGTAATAGTTGGTGCCTCCCACAACGATTGGGATCTTCTCTCGAGCAAATATTTCTTCAATGTGCACGGTTAAGGAGCGCGAGGCGAGACACAGAGGGGCCTAGAAAGCTCTGCAAAATCTCAGCATTCGATGGAGGGAAAGGGAGCTTCTCACAGGCCATCTACACCATGGAAACAACCGTGTCTTGCTGCTACCCACACGTCTCCTGAAATCCAGTCTGGTCTCGTAGCGTAGACAGGACTGAAGCAGGCTGAGCCGGAGCCCTGCTCCTACTGGGTCATAGCAGGTCTCAGGGACACCAATACATTCGTTCGAGCCTCTCTGCAGTACAAACTAAACTTATTCTTTAATCTGACAATGGACAACAGCGCTCTGACTGCGTCTCTTGATGTACCTGGGTATAAAGCAGACCAGCACCTACTCTCACTCCTGGGCTCCCGGCATGATTTCACTGATCTATTTCAAACCTGACCATCTTGGGTTTGGGATTATATCACGGGTGGGCAAACTTTTTGGCCTGAGGGCCACGTCGGGGAATAGAAATTGTATGGCGGGCCACGAATGCTCACAAAATTGGGGTTGGAGCGCAGGAGCGGGTGAGGGCTCTGGGGTGGGACCGAGGGGTTCGGAGGGCTGGAGGGGGATGAGGGGTGCGGGAAGGGGTGCAGGTTCTGGCTGGGAGTGCGGGCTCTGGGGTGGGGTGGGGATGAAGATGAGAGGTTTGGGATACAGGAGGGTGCTCCGTGCTGGGATCGAGGGGTTTGGAGAGGGGGATCGGGGCACGGGCATGGGGAGAGGCTCAGGGGTGCAGGTTCCGAGCAGCGCTTACCTCAAGCAACTCCTGGAAGCAGCGGCATGTCCCTTCTCCAGCTCCTACACATGGAGCGGCCCCAGACCGGGAGCTTGCGGGACGGCTGAAAACGGCTCGCGGGCCGTCGTTTGCCCACCCCTGGATTAGATCATCATCCCCCTCTCCACTTCTCCCCACTAGCCACGTCCGCCCCAGGCACTAATGCTGCAGGTGGCATGCAGCGAGGTAGAGGGCTCTACCCGACAGCTGCCCGGGGAACCCCAAATTCGAGTGGCTTTGATCACGCCAGCAGCACTGCCTTCATCAAAGGTTGGTTTCCGAGCTGCTCCTCTTGCTGGCTACGGAGCCTGGCCTGACACACGACGCTCAGACGTCCACACATGGACAAAGAGGGGTTTGGACAAGCTAATGCTTCTCCTACAGCATTAGCTCAACTTCCCACCGCCTTTAACATTCTCTCACCAGCTTCAGTTTTTAAGGAAGTCACTCCTGGAAGACAGCGAATGGCTGATCCAGGCAATGGCCCGGGCCCAGGGAAGGGGCCAGGGAGAGAACGGAAGAGCCCGGTGTGTATTTGTCTGGCCAGTCGGACTGCTCTGTGAAAGGATATCAGGGCCGCTGCTTTGTTCCGGAAGTCCACCACAGTGTAGTTAGAGACCAAGGGATCCACAAAGCTGATCATGTGGTGTCTGCACAAAGCCTGTTCCTGGGGAGAGATCTTGTTTGTGATGATGTCCAGCCCCTTGTACACCTGGGACACAGAGAGCAGGAGATAAGAGTCCAAATCCCCGCTCGTTAATCACAGAGCTGTCCCCACCCCCGCCACATAGGAGAAGGGAGGAATTTGCTCTCCCTCCTCAGCCCCATGACCACAGACCACTTCAGCTAATCCTTCATACTCTGGAGACATCCCCTTCTTCCCTCTGACCCAGGCAGAGACAGGACACAGGCCATGCGAAGGAAGGCCAGCTTCAGCCCTGGCGTAAGCGGACTCGCCAATCAGGGCAGCATCTGCTTGTGCTGGGGCCAAATACAGCCCCACGTGCGTTGCTGACACAAGCGTGTTCCAATGACCCAGTGATTGGAGAACCAGGGCAGAGCCACTGATCAGGGTAACCTCGCCGAGTCCAGCTCCAAACTGCAGCCCTCAGACAACAGCCTGTTTTCATGAACCCCACCGGGCACTTCTGCTGGTAAACGTTCACGTGCAGCTCTGTCCAAATGCAGGGTCCCTAACAGAGCACAAAGTCTTGTTTGGGGAGGAGATCCTTCTGCAAACACCATGGAGCCCCGTGACAGTCGGAGCTCTCACACCCAGTAAAAGCTGAGCTTATCACCCCTTTCCCCTGCTCGGTGACACGTCCCTCCAGGTACCCGAAGGAAAAAAGTTATACATCAGCTCAGGTCAACAACCCCCAAAGAGAGGAAACAGCCACTCCCTGGAGTTGAATTAGTTCTGCCACAGGATTACAGGCCTTTATAATAGAATCAAAATCTCCAGATTTACAGGTAAACTGATATTTACCAAATCTCAGCACCCAGACAATGGGAATTCTGGGCTTCAAAGGGTCCTGAGTGCAAGCCCCAAGAACCAGTGAGAGGACAACAAGGGAGGGGAGAGCAGTAAGGGAACGGCACATAGGAAATGCCCAGAGAGCTGGAGGCTGAGATTTTGCTTACACTAGGATCCCCAATCGCATTTGAACACAATTGTAAATTGTAAAGTAGACCAGTGACCACACGGCCATCCTTAGTCTAGGCTACAATCATGTTAACAGGAAACCCCACTTTTCATCAGCAGATTTCAAAATATTTTACAGCAGACGGTCAGTATCCTCCCCACTTCACAGCTGGGGAAACTGAGGCACAATGCACTGGCGTGACTTGCCCACAGTCAGCCAGCAGGTCAGTGGCAGAGCTGGGAATAGAACTCAGGTCTTCTCTGGCCCAGTGTAGTGCCCGATCAGTTATCTCCCCAATTCTAAAAAGATACACAGTTCCCTTTGGAGGGGAGCCAGGGTCTAAAGCACAGGACTGGGAGCCAGGAACTCACGACTCTGACCCTGTGCGTGGCCTTGGACAAGTCCCCTTCACCTCAGTATCCCCATCAGTGAAATCAGGGACAATACTCCCCTACCTCCTAGTACCTAATGAGTGAGGCATAATGGGTGTTTGGAATATGCAGTGCCTATGCCCCGCAGGGCTAAGCTAGCAAGGGTGGGTAGCCCCTGGGGAAGAGAAAATCCTGCCTGTGTACAGGAAGGGCAAAGCACCCGCACCAGATTGTTATTCTGGGAAGATCAAAGACACACTGGGTTCCTCACCTTCAGCTGGGGCCCTTCGGTTTTCAATGTTTGCTGAAAATTCAAGGGGCCTTTGGCAGAAATAAACGTTTGACCAGAAAGTCCAACTCGGGGAGCTTTGGGTGTTTGCATATGACCCATTCCTGTCAGCTTTGTAATGTTTCCTATCATGGGACTGGGGGTCAGGACTCCTGGGTCCCATTCCTAGCCGTGCCACTGACTTGCTGGGTGACCTTTGGGCAAGTTACTTTGCATCTTCATGCCTATTTCCCTGTAAAACGCAGACAGTGCCTCCCAACTTTTGTAAAGCACACCAATCTTTTCAGGTGGAAGGCACTGCAAAGGGTGGACAAATTATTATATTCTGTCTAATACAAAAGGAACATGAGATTATCCAGAGCCAGCTGCTCTGACTGCTGCGTTCTCTTTGGAGTGATCCCATATCAGAGTTTATCTCCCCGGTCTGAAAGGGCTGCAGGCCTACAGTGGAAATCTGATCAAAAAAGCTGGCAAGGTAGAGAAAAAGACAGAAGACAATCAGGAGTAAGAAATTCTCCATTGTGGCTGCAGCTGCTCTTTTCCACCCTGCGTAAGCGTCAGCCCTCCCCCACCCCAGCTCAGAGTCCCAGCTGACAACACTTCACATGGCAGAAACATACACTGAGGTAGCAATTCAGCTCCCTGGATGCTTCAGAGACCAAATCCACCAATGCCCTGGATTATCAGCGCAGAGAAGAGCATCCCAGTCATGTCAAGCCCACGTGCTGATCGGGTGATACCACACTGATCTCTGCGGATGTGTCTTTAACACACACACACTTGCGTGCTACACACACACGCACCTCTGCACATACCGTCTGCAGCTGCTCCTGCAGCTGAGTGGACGTACAGACTTACCTGTATCCTTTCCTGCAGTGATGTAATACAGTGCACGGTGCACCCTGGAAGATCTGTGTTTTGGGTAGTTACCGAAAGAAAATGCACAATCACGGATCAAACCCAATGCACCACACCCCTTCAGGAACAGCAAAAACCGTGCTACCACAGTCATCAAACTCACTGTGCAGATGGCACTATTGGATCTGATTATTTTCTAAGCCCCTGATAAGAACATCCCTCAGCTAGGCAGTCTAGTATCGCTGGGCTATTCAATCCCCCCTCTTCTCCTACTCCTTCCTTGCGGAACCAGGAAACAGACTTCAGGGCACTTTTCATGTGAAGATCTCAAAGCACCTCACGTCATTACATCCCCTGTGAGCTAGAGGAGTACTCCCTAGTGAAATGGAGGAACTCAGGAGGGACCTGCCCATCACACAGCAAGAGAGCAGCAAGGGAGATAGTCTGGCTCCCGGGCTGGTGACTAGCCGCTGGATCGTATTCCTTGATTTAGGAACAGAGTTTTTTTAAAAACAGGCCAACCCTTCTGCAGGGCTCTTTGTAAATCGCCACGCTCTGCATCCAGGCAGCACAAACATCAAGGTCATACCCAGGATCCACCATCTGGGGTGTGTAAATACCCAGTTATGGCCAAAACTAAGGAACTACCCAGTGTAAATATCAGAGCCTTACTTACGATTTCAAGCTCTGGATCTAAGGAATTAGGAGGGTCCCCTGAGGAGAGCTCTTTCAGAAGAGCGTGTTGTTACATCGGTGGGTGTGTCCCTTGCATGCTTCACGGGCACTGTGCAAATACAAGTCTCTTCGGTGATGTATGCCCACGGACCTGGCACTGGCCTGGCACGGCACAAAGAGCCTTGGATGCTGTTGGCAGCCCGTGCTGAGAAGCAGCTGGGCCACTGCTCTAAAGAGCCTGCAAACAAACCCCGATCAGAGTCGGGTTCTATAGCCCAGCGCTCCCCCAGGACGCCCAGCGCTGTGGGCGCGGGCGAAGACACTGCTCATAAAGCAGCCTCTCTGTTCGGAAATCAGATTTCAACGCTTTAAGGGGGACTGTGCCTTCTTTGTGTGAGACACCCACTGAGGCCCTGCTTTGTAACCACGGGGTTCAGCCCCTGGGAGGATGCACTGAGCACGGCGCAGGCTGGAGTTTTCTGCACATGCCAGGCCTCAGGTTAGAGCCTGCGCTGGAATAAGGCCCTGTCAGCCTGGCTTGGTGAGGCGAGAGCAGCCTGTAACACTGGAGAGCCAGACTCACAGAGCCAGATTCATTCCCACTTTACTTCTGCTAGCTGCCAACCGTTCAGCCCCCCCGCCCGCCAGTCTCCTGCAAGTGATGCTCAATGGATCGCGTTGGTGACTTGCTAGGGAGAGGCGGAGGGCCATGGAGAAGAACAATGTGAGGTTACTGGAGCAAAACATCTCCCTCCCCGGCTTGCAGCAAGCCAACCTGCACACCTTCAGCCTGGGGCCTCCCTCTAGTTTGTAGATGTGCTGCTTTCCTGCAGAGTGGGCCCCGGAGCAACTCCCAGAGCACACAACAGGGAGAAAGGAAGGAAGGCCCGCCCCGTCCCCCAACCACGCCAGCTCAGGGAAGGGCTGCCCAGAGACTCAGGCCACGTCTACCCTGGAAACCTTGGCGGTATAGCAATGGCAGGTAGGGAGGTGACTTTTTGCAACACGTCTGTAGGGCAAAAGCCCTAGCGTGGTTACAGTTCGACCAGCACAAGAGTCCTTTTGCTGGTATCGCTCATTCAAGCGATAAGTGACACGGGGATAAGCTGGGTCTCCATGCGGAGAGTTTGCCGGCGGAGTTATACAGGTATAACCGCCCCAGCAAACCTTGCATTGTGCAGCCCTGGCCTCAGCCGGTGGGAGCACAGACAAGCAGCTGTGGCAGGACCTGCGGACTCTGGCGAGGTAAGCTGTGCCCGGTCGCTTTTTCCGCTCCTTTTGACTCTGGCCATTCTCTCCCTGAGCTGATTGGCCGTTTGCTCCAACACCCTCCACAGCTTCTTTGGCTCAAGCTCATTCCATCTGTCCTCCCCGCACCCCTTCTTTTCCTTTCCCCTATTCTCCTTAGCGCCCCCGCCCCCGTAGTCTCTAATTAGCTAATTCTCCTCCCAGGACAACCACACCCAAACAATTCAAAACAAAACCACCAAACCATGGCACTAACTTGACAGGTACCATCTGTCACCCTTGCTCCTGTGTTACAGCCCTTCTCCCTTAACCCTGTGTTGGTCCGTTTAGATCACTAGCTCTTCAGGGCAGCAATCATCTGTTTGTGCAGCACCAGGCACAGTGAGGGGCCTGATCTCAGCTGGGCTTCTGAGGTGGTCTCCTAATAATAATCCCCTGGAATGACATGGGATGCTCAGGAGATGGAGGGCAGGGAGGAAGAAGGAATTTATGTTGGCCCCTACAAGACAGTCAGCACATTGGGAAGGACCATTGCCAATATCTACTGAATTCTTTGGGCCTCATTCCTCCACTGGACCCCATGACGGGGAGAGGGGGGATTGTGGTCCTTCTAGTGTCATATCACATC